GGAAATCGACATTAACATATAATTAGGTTTAAGAACATACCTTGATTGTTATATAGCAATAATAATCACAACTCCACCTTGGATTGACTTTCGAATGCTTAGAGTCACAAGTGTTACTCCTCTAATGGCTTACAAACACCATAAGCAAATGGAGAAGGTATAAAGAGAGAGGTGGGAGGTTAGAATTCGTATCTAGGACCTCTTGGGAAGGGATACACGAATTCATGACCCTAGGGGTGTTTATATAGGTGTAGAGATAGGGTTTCAGTGATTATCCTTATCTAGTTGATTATCCATTAAGCAACCAATAAGATAATCCTTGAATCCTTATCATACTCGAATTCTAAGGCTTTCCAACCTTAAATTCGTCCACCATATAAATAAGATAATCCTTACCTTATTTTGTAACTATCACATAATTACAAATCAGCCCCTCTAGTTTAATTAATTACATTTGATCACAAAACTAATTCTTAATTAATTATTGACCAATATTAATTAAACAAATATGATTTCTCCTTTAATATATTATTCTTATAACATATTAATAAATCATATTATCCTCTCTGTCTTTATTCATTTCTCCAATCAAGTTGCTTTGGTGAAGGCAACCCAAAAGGACCATGCACCACCGGGTCAAGTACATACCAAAATAGTTATGGACTTAGACACTAATCCAACAAATATATCATCCAATTAATATTTGGATCCCGATTCACACTAAGAGTCTAAAATTAGGGTAAACATCCTTTTTACCCTTTCTCTAATTAACTTGGCCCAAGGCCTAAAGCCCAATCAAAATGTTTAAAAAGACCAAATTCTAGATAATCACCGAAAGCCCAATTATGGCCCAATTTTCCAAATTAGTCTCAAACCCATTTCATGGCCTTTAGCTAAAGCATCTACTTAAATATTAAGAGCACAAGAAGAGGATATCGATGGCCCAACAAGGCCAATGACATCGAAAGCCCAAGATGGTCCAATATTGAGAAGCCCACATGTCTGAAGCCCACTACTAAGTATGCATGGCATACTCAGCTTGTACGCTCAGTGTACTCGCTTAAGAGCTTGTACGCTAAGCTCACCTGCTTGTATGCCCAGGGTACTCCACCTTCTTAACCAAATTTCTCATTCAACTCTTAAACGGTTAAGACTTCATTGCAACACTAAGATCTGACTTCCATAAGGTGATTTATGACATAAAGTTGCAACACGTGTATGCATGGCTTAATGGGGCTCTAGAGCTCAAAAAGAGTTTAATAAATTACTTAACACATGCCTGAGTCCATAAACACCGTAAATTTGCACCTTTATGCTTGAGGAACCCTCAATATGTCTAGATCTAAAAGTCTAAGCTCCATAAACAACCTTAGCTCACTAGAGTCAACCAAAAATGACCAAAATACTTAAAACAAGCCAATGCATAGATTTATGAAGTGAGTTGACAAGCTTTGAACTTTATACCTCAAATGCCACGAAATGGAGATGCTAAAGCTGGATATCAAAGCTCCTCTCTAAAGGATGAGTCTTCAACCTTCTTCTTCCTCTTCAAAATGCAAAAAACACACCAAAAATGCTTCACAAGAGCTCCAAAGGTTACTCACATGGGTAAGGGACGAAATTAGGGTTTTAAGGGTAAGGAGGTTGAGTAAACATGTCTAAAAGAGGCTATCACATGGATTATATAGGGTACAAAACCAAAATTAAGGCTTAAAGTCCACCCACGTAAGCTATGCATACTCCAGGTACGCCCAACGTATGTGGATGAACTCTGTGTCCATGCAAGGTTAGTACGCTAAGTGTACCACTCCAGTACTCCCTTCATACTAGCTGAGGGACCATTGTGCAAACATTTTGCTAAAGAGGCTAAATAAGAAACTTACCAATATCTAAGTGTTACACCTTTACCTAGAAGGGTTTTTTTTTTTCAAATAATTATTAGGATTCTAATTATTAATTCTTACAATTGCGTAGAATGACAAGATTGTTCATTCTTTGAGCATTTTTTATTAAGCCCGTTTGCTTAATTTTTTTCACTTGAATAAAGACGTTATAGGTTTAAAATGTGATGATTATTTATATAAATTCTTTTAATTAGAAAAAAGTTATATTATTATGTTTAATTAATTCATTAAAACACATGACTTGGGTGATTTAATATTTTTACTCAAATAAGTATTTATATATGTTTCACTCTATATAGTATATCTCTATATTAATATATGATATATGATATATTTACATGACTTAATATATGTGAGTGTAAAGCTTGACCAAGTGAATGACTGCCAAAATATAATAACCAAGATAATATTAAACAAGTTGATAAGATTATGTGAGTAAGAGAAAACCAATGCAACAATTTGGATTTTGTGTGTTATTCGAGTAACAAAACTGAATTTGTTCCATTGGATCCGAATAACCAAAAAACTGATTAACGGAAGTAATACAATTTGGTTATGTGACAAACATCAAACCGATAACCTAAAATCTAACTTATCTGCATGACGATCATGCATACATGAAGTATATTCGGTGGTGTGATATTCTCTAGGTAAAATAACTTCATTACTTACATTTATCTCTTTGTAAACGTATAATTAAGTATTTTTTTTTCAAAGTTAACTGATATTATATATAGATTGTAAATTTTTATTTGTGTAGGTGAATGAAAGAATGCATTTATTGATGTATTTTATGAGGAAAAAAATTAATACATCTAACTTCTATTGTTAGAGAACAAAAACATTTTTCAATATATATCATTAATTAAGCTAATACAATTCTAAAAGAAAACTATACAAATCGATTGATGATGTTAATAGTAAATAATACAAAAAATCAAAAGGTAACGAAATTTTATGCTATTCAATAATAAACACTGTTGAGATATGAGTTAATTTATATATATATATATATATATATATATATATATATATATATATATATATATATATATATATATATATATATATATATTATTCTATATTTAAAGTAATTATAATGTATAAAAAAATATTATTTCAAAGTGAACAATACCCATCTAACTATTTTAATAATATATATTAATTATATTATAATATATTCGACTAGTTTCAAAATAAATAAAGCAAAACATCATGTAAGTGCTAAATATAGTCTCCATATTTATATTACACACCATTCAAATCTAATTACAAGAAATCATATATATATATATATATATATATATATATATATATATATATATATATATATATATATATATATATATATATATATATATATATATATATATATATATATATATACTAGGTGAAAACCCGTGGAACCCACAGGTGTTAATGTTAAATAAAATTGTAAATTTAATTATGTAATAAATAAAATATCATTAAATTAGAAGACTAATATTGTATTTTTTTATACGGATTTTATTTGTAGATATTTAGTTACACAAGAATTGTTAAGTATTTAACTACAAATGGAGAATTTTAAAACCTTTATTTTTTACTTTTTTTCCTTATCTTTCATGTCGATTGTACGTTAGGTTAATAGAATTTTTGCTGTTTTCGTATGGTTTTTCTTACGATATGTTTTCTATTTAGAATAAATTTGTAAAGTTTAAGTATTTAATTATAAATGTAAATCCACCTCTTTTATAAAATTAAATACTTTATATAATGCAAGATACGTTTAAGTAATGACAAAAAAAACATCACAATTGATTTCATTCAAAACAAAATAACGATGTCAGTCATGAAATTAACATAAAAAAAACAATACGTAATTATAAAGTATTTACTTATTACGATGGATGAAATGTGCTATGCTATAAATAACTAAAATATGTTACAAAAAAGTTGGTTATAGATTGCGAAAAACTTCTTTATAAACAACATTGGAAGTTTTGTTTGTTAGTCTACCATTTTTATCTAAAATTAATAATTTCAATCCCTCTCGGCTTTGAACTCTAGATAACGCAACATACAATTGTCCATGTGAAAAAACCGGATCTTTGAGAAACAAACCAACCTTCGATAATGATTGTCCTTGACTCTTATTAATAGTCATTGCAAAACATACCGCCAAAGGAAACTGTCTTCTTGTGAATTTGAATGGAATTTTTTTTTCTGATGGAGTTAAAGACATTCTTGGAATAAAAGTTCGGTTTCCAATATTAGTTCCAGTTATTATACGCGCCTCGATAACACGTTTGCCCAATGATATCACTTGTAGTCTTGTGCCATTACATAAGCCGTTTTTCTGATCAATATTTCTCAGTAACATTACTGGAACACCAATTTTTAAAACTAACTTATGATTTGGTAGACCGGATACTTTCAGACCATTTAATACATCAGGAGAGTATAAATTTGCATCAAACTGATTATGGACAAATTCGGACTCACATATGCTATCTGAACTTAAATATTCAACCTCATCTCCTGGAAACTTATTAAGCAAACGGTCGTTTATTTCTTGAACAACTTCATTCTTTGAAGCAAGTATCGCTCTTTCTTGGAAATAATTTGTAGTGCTATACTTCTCCAAAATTGAAGGATATACAAACTCAATTAATGAACCTATAGGATCATCTGCATCCTTAATGAGAATATCATCCGGAACATCAATAATTGTTTCACCGTCGTTCGGACCACCGAGTTTGCCTTCTCCTATATCCAATAACCAACTTGCAAAATCTTTTATTTTTTCTATATTAGCTTGATCCTTTCCAACACCGAGTCTCATATTTTTTGTTAATCTATACACTTTGCAATATTGCCATAAATATGAGGAACTCAAAGAAGCGTTAACAATGTTTTGTCTGCTGCCACCAGGAACTACAGGTAGAATCTGTCTGAAATCTCCTCCAAAGACAATAACTTTCCCTCCAAAAGGAATATCTGAGATGCTAGAATTTTCACACCTTAACACATCTTTCAATGTTCGATCTAAAGCTTCAAATGCATGCTTATGGATCATAGGTGCTTCATCCCAAATTATCAAAGAGGTTTTTCTTATTAAGCTAGCCAAGTCATCATCTGGATTTATTTTACAAAAAGAATCTTCTGTAAGTTCAAATGGAAGTATAAATCGAGAGTGTGCTGTTCTACCACCGGGCAATAATAATGATGCAATACCGCTTGAAGCAACATTTAAAACAATGTTACCGTCAGATCTAATGGCTGCAGATATTGTCTTCCACAAAAAAGTTTTACCCGTTCCACCATAACCATAAACGAAGAAAACACCTCCTTTATTTTCTTTAACAGCACTCATGATGTCAACGAAAATGTTACGTTGCTCATTTGTTAATGCAAGAAACATACGATCAAATAAACACTGTTGAGATATGAGTTAATTTATATATATATATATATATATATATATATATATATATATATATATATTATTCTATATTTAAAGTAATTATAATGTATAAAAAAATATTATTTCAAAGTGAACAATACCCATCTAACTATTTTAATAATATATATTAATTATATTATAATATATTCGACTAGTTTCAAAATAAATAAAGCAAAACATCATGTAAGTGCTAAATATAGTCTCCATATTTATATTACACACCATTCAAATCTAATTACAAGAAATCATATATATATGTATTGTGTAAGGAAAGCTACGAAGCATGTGAATGATTATTGGCTATCATGCACTCTATCAGCTATCAACATTTTTCTGTGAACGTACCTTCGGATGTGCATCCAAGCTGAAGGGCACTCTCTCTTGAGAATCATTAGCATTAAGTAGTGGCAAAAGAAAATTTGGTGATACATTTGGGGAACTTGAGCTAAGCAAATGGAAGTTATTATTTTGTCTAGCAAGATCATAATTCTCTCCTAAAGTGGGCATCAGATAAGGAGGGAAAGCTGGGGGTGTAATGGCAGCAGGAGGACACAAGAAAAACTGTGATGCAGATGGAATAGCCATTGAAGGATCAGTATGAGAAGAAATTAGCCCTTGGTTCCCAAACTGAGATATTGCTACATTTGAATTAGCTTCCCAATTATATGAAGGGTTGTATGGAAACAATCCAGGGTAAGAGTATTGAGGTATTGGAAAAAAGTTCAAACCTCCATTTCCATCTCCATTTCCTTGCTCGTTCCACTTGTTTTCAACTAGTGCTTCCTTCCCTTTCATTCTCCGATGGTCTCCATTGATGTCATGATCGTTTTCAAACTTCCTTTCTTGTTTGGTATACAGTAAGGTTCGGTTTCCCACATCTTTCACGAAGGTTGCATTTGGATTAGTTAGGAACTGAGAGAAAGAAAATTGAGGTGAATTCAAATCTTGAGGAATGAAGGTCGTCGTCGGTGGTTGATACAATTGATTGAGATCTCCAGGTATCATTTGAAGGGGTGGAAGCTTATCGATATCATCTTTAGTTGAATCTAGCAACCAATCTATAACCTTGCTAGGTTGGTTTAACCCTAGCCTATCTTGAAGATCATACAATTGAATAGCTGTAGGAACAGAAAGTCTAATTCTTCGATCCCTTAATCCTTTTACAGTGCATACCTTGCTATGCCTATCTTTCCCTCCAAAATCCTTAGACACCCTTACGATTCTTGGGTTCTTAAAACCTGCCCATTGTCTTGAAGTTGTTGTATGTTTAGGAAATACATGCTCATTGCTGCTGCCTTCTTGCTTTGCTCGAATGTCTTTTCCTTCAGAATTATTGTTGAACATCTTACTTCTTGCACCATCTGGCTGCAAAAAAGCAGCTAAACACACAACTGTTCATCGGTTACTTATCTTCATGTATATATATATATACTTGATTTTTCATTGATAATTACTTTTATGGAATTAATTTGGAACGTTTAGGTTATACCAATTACTCTAAGTTAATCAAACACTCGAAGTTCAATAGCAAGAAACGTCTTCACTTATATTGTGTATACTATAACAAACATTAACAACGAGAGTAGTTAATTATCCGAGCATCGACTTTGAATTAGGAAGATTACAAGTAGATGATTGATGATTAATTCGTGAAGATAAGAATAGAAAACTAGGGTTTTGTAGTCAAGATCTAAATATGCTATATTTTATGATTATAAAAAGAAGATAAAGAAAGTTGAGAAGATGAACAAGAACAAGCAAGAATGGTTTGAGATCATTACAACTGAAGGCTAATTAATACCTGCAAATTCAATCTGTTAGAGTACTTCGATTGAAAGGTATATATCACAAAAACGAATTCAAATCGATTAAAACTATCATGTGCCTTTGGTAGTACTGCAGATCTGGCAGTGTAAAGTTTCCTGTAAAGAAAGATGAGAAACTCCAGTCTCTGAATGGAATTGTTGATGAATCCGTGTGCAAGTTCTTTGGGAAGCTGTATATAAACCTGATTTCTAATTATGTGCAACAAAAAAAGCAATATATGTCTCTGTCACCTATCAATATATATATATTATTCTTTAAAATTTAAATACACTACAATTCATTTATATATTTTAATTTTCTTTATGTGAAGATGATATTTCTAAGAATCTTACCATGTTGCACGCGAAAGAAAAGTAAAAGGAATGGCAAATTTACGAACACGTGCTGTCTTTGTCAGCCGACACGCAAGTTAGGTAAATGCATACCACACACTGAACGTTTTAGTTAGTGAAGGGAGTTCTACTAGTCACACCTTTAGTAATCATGTAGTTATATATCAATGATATATATATATATATATATATATATATATATATATATATATATATATATATATATATATATATATATATATATATATATATGTATACTGGTGTATGATTAAACCAATCAAGGTATGTAGTCAGTGCAAAAAATAAAAACTTCAACCATATGATGGACCATTCTATATGTCCTAGGTAGAAAAAGTGGATAAATGCTTTATTGTACATATAGCTGGCTTTTACAGCGTCATTTATAAGGTATATTCATGCTTAATTACCCAAACTCAAAGACTCGAGATGCATAATCAATTACATACCATATGCGTACACATGCATATATCGGCTAGAGAAAAAGAAAAGGTGTTTGCATAGTACTACTTTTAATAATTACTTTCATTTCTTATTTATGTCATGTTTCGTCTATTTGTTTTCTTTCTTATTTTTCTGATTCTTGGAAATAATCAAAGGGAACATTTGATAAGTAATGGCTAAACCAAATCCAGAATTTAATTATCCAAGAAACATAGTAAGTGCCAAAGATGTTCGTGATACGTGTGTAATATTATTGAAGAAAAGAGAGTATTTGATTAAACAGTATGTACAAGCAAATTATAAAAAAAAATATGTATATTAATCAATTGACTAAAACTCCCAATGCATCTTTGAGAAAGCTGTTGTGTGAACCACAGAAGGATTACTGCTTAGATAAAGCCAGCTATAGTATATGTGTAGAGGAGGGACCAAAAGAATAAGGGTTTTTAAAGATATCCCACTGTTTTATTGCTTATTGCTCTCGGGACCACCTGAGATAACTATATATTATATTGTAAGATATGGAAATGAATAAATATAATTTAATTTACATTTACATAAGTACTAATGCAAACTAAATGTATTATTACCCGATTAACAAGTATCAGAGATAATATTTAGTCGGCTTGTTAGACCACATATTGTAGACCAAGATAAAATTCGACATTGGAGGATATATTTTGTTTCCAAGTTTTGGAAGTCAAGAGGAAAAATGAGTGGTAGACTTCAAGATTTGTTTATATTCCGATTAAAAGTGGGAGACTTCGGTTGCACACAGGATTGTGTTTCTCTTTGTGGGAGATTAAACATGAGAGCTAATCAATTACTTTTGTGCTTGACTGATTGGTCTAAATTGTGGAATTGGGGAGCGAGTAATGCTTGGGGATCGAATCAGATCACGTTTCATAAACAGTTAAATATCTACGTAAGTAGTTAGCTAAGAAAAGAAATTTTGTATGTGCAGAAACTTTATGAAAAATAGATATATGGATGCATGAAGCATCATAATGGCTGCTGCAAGACTTTTATGGTTGCAGCTGCAACTGAAGCTTTTACTGCTGATCGCTACACTTTTTTTGGTGTCCTTTCTTCTAACGTTAATCTTTAATTAAACATGAAACCCTAGCATTAATAAATCTTTAATTTACCATGAAACCCTAGCATAAAAGAGGTCTAGAATTGATCAAACCCTAAAATCTTCGATTCCTCACTTAAGTATAGGGTTAAGATCATAAATACTGCACTTTTTTATTTGGTCACCTAACTAGACCACCATAAAAAATTGTACCAAGTTACACTACTAAAAAGGGGCCGTTTTTCCTATTGATTTTAGCCTTTGAAAAATTGCATTTAATGACATAATAACAACCAAAAACGAATACCACGGCTAATAACGGAAATAAATTATTTCTGTTTATCTTCACTAGTTTGATATTGAACAACATATTTTTAAAAAAGAAAAAAAAAATGTAATTTATTACTTATTCCTTTTTTTTTCTCCTACTCGATTGCAAATTACCAACAAATTTATGATGAAATATTAATTTTAAAAGAAAAAAAAAACAATTGTTTTGTTTTCCTTTACACCTATGCATTAGCTATGGATTTAGTTTTCCTTGGGATTATTTCTTAGCTTTCTAGGGATACAAGGTGAAGCTTTTCTGGTTTAAATGGTCCATTTGGATATTATGAAGGGGTAATTCGGTTAACCCTATTTTCAGGTCGTATTTTCACTTAAAAAGAAAGTCAATACTAGTCAAAATACCTTCTATTCCTATATGACTTCAGTATAGCCTTAAGTTTTCACCGAAGCTACCATCTTCTTTGACCGTACACTATTCTCGACGGAGCTCGCTTCCCCAACGATACATCTAACTCTGGCGGACATTACAAATTTCCACTCCCAATGTTCCTTCCTGTTACTTGTTGTCTAAGACATACATCTATTAGCTAGGATTTCATCTTCAATGACTCGTTTTTTAGATTATTCAATTCTATAGGTTATTTCACAGGAACCTATAAGATATTTATCAAAATCCGAAGCAAACATGGATTAGAGTGTTTGCAGGTCGATGACCCAAACATAACGATCATACAACTCTAAACCTAATCAAATTGGAACATAGGGTTCCAGTATACAACCAAACCTTATCCAGAAACCAATCATTACTCTTAGTAAAAACAAACAAAATCAAAAGAAAAACTCAACCTTTCATCTATTCTAAGATATTGCATTGCAATCATAGACCAGGTGTATCTACTACTCGTCACGCAAACAAGAGGGGCTAGTGGTAATTTCTAAGATCCTAATAAGTGATACCACCAAAAACATTAATTATTGATGCAAAACATGAACATTGATTTGCTATTATGAGGACAATGATCATTGAGTTTGTAAATTAGTAATAGAGGATCGGTAAAGAAAACGATTGTGGTGTGGAAATGTAACATCCCAAAATGCAAGCTAAAATTTTCATATTTAAAATAATATAAAATCCTTTTGTTAGTAAAGTTACATTAGGGATAAACCATTTGTTCATAAACAATTACTCAAATATCAGAGTTATAATGATGACATTGCAAAAATCTTGAATCATAAAACTGTTGATGTGTGTGTACAGTCATGCCTTCATAATCTTATAAGTGCATACAAAATATTTAATCAACAAATGTAAGCACAAAACTTAGTGAGTTCCCCAAATATCGTATATAACATAGCATAACAGTCAACTATAGATTATCAGCAACCCAGGGAACTATCAGTGGCCCTAGTAGGCTAACAAAACGTCCTATGGATTAACAGAACACCTCACGGGTTATCAACAATCATGGGGACTATAAGCAGTCCCATAGACTCACAACAGTTTGGGAGTTATCAACAACTCGGTTCACATATAACAAAATTTAACAAAATAATACCTAGCTGGTCTACAAGCATATACTACCATACATGCAAGTATAGTGAGAAGACTCGTATTGTAAATAGCAGTTAAACAACACAACTCTCACCCATCAAAGATGCACCCTACATGGCACCTAATGACAATGAAGAGTACCATGTCATTCTACACCCCAAAACCCTATGTTTGACTAAAAGTCAACCATGGTCAAAAGTCAATAGTCAAAGTTAGCCCCAATTGGTTGTCACATCATGACCACCTATTCATCATGTCATGACAAAGTTCAGACAAAATAGTCGTGACATCACCCATCGTCACGATGTGAAACATCACCCGTTACGTTGTGAGACTCGATCTGGACACCCTAAAGCATTAAGCTCTTAATCATTCAAGCTAAACTTTCAAACCATTTAGAATGCTTTCCCTTGTCCAAAGGACCATAAAAATCATAGCTTTATACTCATGCATGTCTACTGCATGACTTGAACACTTAATAGGTGAAAATAAAGGAAAATAAGACCAAAAATCAAGCTTTGAGTCCAAACCACCACCAATCCTCATATCTAAGATATATGCTAAATAAAAGGCCTCAATGATCCATAAAGTTGCTAACTTTAAAGATCACATGCATGCTACCCAACCCAAACATGAAGAAAAATGAATAAAATTTAGCTCTAGCATGCTTAAGAGATAAAGGTGAGAGCTTTAGGATTTACAAAGCTACAAAAAGTATAGAAGGTGGTGAGGAAGAAGCTTTATTTCTAAAATAATGCACCAAAGGGATCATCTTCTTCAACAAAAAGAACTAAAACCACTGAAAATGGCCAAACCACCAAGGTGAGCTAGAGTTAGCGTTTCTAGGGCTTAAGGGAGTTCGAGGCTGAGATATGAACCCTCAATTTGAGTTTACGGTGCTTAGGCTGCAACCCTTGTTAATTCGTGACCAGTTATACATCACGTCGTGATTGGTCATCCAAATGTGAATTCTTCAACTCCATTTGTCACATCGTGACTATCCTATGGTCATGTCGTGACACACGATTTTCCCTAAAAACTCTCCTTGATGCCCTAAACCGATCCAATCCAGGAAATAGTATTACAATTCTCTCCACTTAAATTTGATTTCATCCTTAAAGTTTTCCTTTACCAATCATCCTAAAACAGCTCCCTCTGAAAACACCACGAGGGATCTTCCCAAACCAACAACTTCTTACTCGATCCATAACTGTAGTAGATGCCCGAAACTGTGACCAAGAACGTAATGATTTCTAAAATCAGGCATGTACGCCAAACCTGGGTGAAGATTTTCCAAGTTAAAAATCACCCCCTTTCCCCCGACGGAAAATGAAGATCAACACATCACAACCAACTGAATCGAGAAGAGTTGGCTCCTTCACCCTTAACTTAAAATCCCATGAACATGTTTGTCTTCCCGGAAGACAAGGCCTCCCTCACACATCCCAAATGCTAATCAAGACTCAAGGGTCTGAACCCAAACAAAATCTTCCCTACATTATGTCATCCCATGGAAGCAGTAGATAGGAATCCAATACTAAGTGCAGAAACCACCAACCTTGGCTATTGACATTAGAGTGAGAAAGAACAGGTGAGAGCTAATCTAGTCCACACCTACCCCTTGTTTTAAGAACACTGCATCAAGCCATGGAGATAATCAAACGGAGTAGCAGCGATTTAGCTCATCCCGACCCAATATCAGATATCATGATCGGGGGTCCTTAGTTGAAAACTTGACTTATTGACAAGTCATAACCAACCAATTACTCCCATGATCATAACTATAGGCAATATTAAAACTCATGCGACACTTAATCTCCCAAAACAGCACAAGTGCACAACCATCTGCGAACAATCACAAGGGTCTTATAAATACCCGCATCACCACCTTGTGGTATTCCCAACCAACATACCATTGCCCCTATGTCAATCTAAACAATTATAGGTTATCTGCAACCCTAAAACTATCAATAATTATGAGGACTATCAATAGTACTAGAGTTATCAACAACTTAGGATGTACTCATAATAGCCACCAGCTACTAAGACTTGGCTAGTCTAGTATGCACACCTCAACGACATAGGTAAACTAG